GGCGCATATGTGCGCGTGCAACAGAAAGGGACGGGACGAGATCTTCATCGCCACACGGAGAAAAGTAATGCACTAAATAATATGGCACTACACGCGCGTGTGTGTGCGCGCGTAGTATACGTAAGTCGGAGCTGCCAGAGTACGTGCGCGCGCGTCTCGGAGCATTAACGGTCGCGGGCGGACGGCGGGAGGGGTGTACACGCGCAGACGGGCTCTGACAGATAAAGTCAAGATGCGCGCCGCACGTAAAACACCGATCGTTCCCCCCGAAGAAGATTCCGGATTTCCGTTCCGCGTAACATCGGTCCAGATGTGTGCACCGGCAACCCCTTTGCCCGCGAGGCGCACAGGAGCGCAGCCCCTCACTCCCTTCCCACCGTCCGTCTATCGTTCCGAAGACCGACTCTGCCGAACACCCAGCAGCGGCGGTGTACGCGTGCACGTCGGTTTAATCACGGCGAGAAATCGCGTAAGACCATGTACAATCGGAACAACGATCGGGTCTTCGTTGCTCATCTGTGCGACGATCCCGTAGTTGAACTCGTGTGCCCATAAAACACTAAAGACGAAACGAAACGAAATCAGCCGATGCGAAACGACCAGACATGTCTACAACGTGCACTACCGGCAACCGGATTCGTATTTTTTTTTTAATAAGAAATTAAAAAAAAAAAAAAACCTTGAGAGAAATGCCACCGTAGCTCAGCCGTCGGACATCGCGTTTGAGCATCATGAATACCGCGAAAAACGTATCAAATATTTTGTTGTACACAGTACATAATATAAGAAGATCAAATTTTTGTGAGTTAAAGTTTGTTGGAAAATATTTTTAAGTAGAGCATGGATAAAAACCGTTACTACACACGTAAAGTTAATATTTTTCGACAAAATTTAAAGAAAATGTAGCATATATAAAGGTTAGGTTAGGTTATAAAGGTTATATTTAAAGATTTTGTTTCAAACAATTTTCTTCGGTATTCTTTTTTTTTTTATTCCAACAATTTTGGAACAAAAGAAATTAACAATATCAGAAATATTTTATTAATGCCATTTTTAATTAGCCGATTAATTAATACTCGGATTTGTCATAAAAGTTTAAAAATGTTTCAAATCTTTATTAAGGAAAACAGATTTTAATCAAAGTGTAAATAAAAGTTAAATAAAATTAAATACAAATTATTGGAAATTATAAATTATAAAATACTGCAATATTTTAATTTAAAAATATATTTTCATTCGAAAAATGTATTGAAATATATTAATTTAATTGGAATTCAAGAGCAAAATGAGTTTATTTAAAATACCATTTATATTGATTAAATATATTATGTTAATCATGTACGCAACTGAGTCCAAATATTGGAAGTGCTGAAATTGCTGAAATTAAATTAAATGGTATTGAATTGTAATTGCTATAGATATATAGATCTGAAAAAAACAAGAATGCTATATTTGAACTTAGGGGTGCTAAAACCTTATTGCACCCCCTAGTTGCGCCTATGGTGTTACTAATAATGTTTCGTTTTATAAAGCTAATAAGCGCTACGTATAATATACGTTAATGATGGTGATTTTCTAATTATTAAATTTTTTTAAGATGCCTTATAAGATTTCATTGAGCATAAATTATTTTAAATGTAATATTATAAAATCGTTTACTCCAAAATTGCATTAAAATGGTATTCACAAATTGCACTGCATGGGAATCGTTGAAATTATAATTAACTTGTATTAGGTAAATAATTCTTAAACACCGTATAAGAATAAAATTTTAAATTATGCATAGTTAAAATTATCATGAACTCTACACTGCAGCGCGAGTGAGTCTGGAAATCGCGATGGTTAACACAATTAGGAGACAATAATCAAGTTCATAAAATTATAATGATTTTAGCTGTTTTATAAAATTGATTTTTTTCAAATATTTTATAGGCGTATAGGTATTATCATCGATAACCATTATTTATTTATTATAAAATGTATTGAAAGCACAAATGTTCGCATAATGCACAACTATTATACGAATTATGAGATTAAACCAAGATAAGGAAAATAAAAATTAATTATAATCAATTTTTATGTAGTATAAAATTTGTAAAAACACTTTATCTGGCAATTTATTAATTTTTTTTTCCTTCTACCGAAATGTAATCCAATTATTAATATCCGCGAGAAATTAAGAAATTGCTGACATTATATCGGGTATCAAGATGGAGTGATATACAAACGTATGTATAATGTTTGAACATCTTGAATACTCCGACTCGTGTATTACATACAATGCGAGCAACGTATATTTTATTACATTAATTTAAATATCATGCACCGTACTGGATGCGGAAAAATATATTTTTATTTATATGGCTGACAGCCCGTACTGCAAGAAATATTGTCTTTGGATTTTGATACCCCGACTACATCACATTCTTGTAATTGCAATTTATGTTTTATTGACATAGTGATATAATACACTCAATAATTACACAATAGGTATTACACATTTTTAGAAACTCAGTGTTTTCAATTATATTACGAAAAAAAAAAATAGTTCAACTATAATATTATGTACATTATTTATGTTGGTTATTTTAGCTATTCATTTTTTACAATTCATTATCGGTTTTGAATGCATACACTGTATACAAATACATAAATAAATATACACATAAATATATATATATATATATATATATATATATATATATATGTTTTAATAAAATATTCTTGCAAATGAAACATTTAGTGTACATTTCAACTACAATTGTACAAAGCGTATTCGAATAAAACAAATATTTTTTCTGATCCAAAAGCGTTTATAATAAATATTAGTTTACATTATTTTTTAATTAAATGTACATGAAACATATATATATATATACTTATACTCGTGTATCAGCCACATCTGGTATATTAAAGAAAAAACTAAAATGTTTTCTGCTGCACAAGAGGTAGTAATTATTACATGTTCCTTATAATAATGATGTAGTATTATAATTTTGCTTTCATAAACATCATCTTTCTTATGCATGGCAATATTATTCGTTATTTTTTAAAGATTACAAATGTATTCAACCGTTCTTTTGTTTTAACCAATTTAATGCGTACGGATGTGTGCGTATTTGGCACGTGCATAATAAAATACCTTTATGTCCGCTAACTGAAAGGGATGTGGTAAGAGTTTTTTTTCTTTGAAAAGCTATGTAATAGGTCCTGAAAAAACACGAATAAAAAAAACCAGAAAATACCATATGTTTCTGTAAACATCCGAATTCGTTTGAGATGAATCACAGATTATTATAGTGTGTGTGTGTGTGTGTGTGCGTCAAATTTATAAAATATATTTTATATTTCATTGTATAATACGTTTTTGGCTTGGTATATACCTCGATTATCAACGTCTCTTTCTCCGCAATAGCTTTTTAATATTACACACATAAATTGACACGGATCATGATTTATCGGATCGCGTTTTTTTACAGTAAAATTAAAAGGTCAACATACTACTTACATTTTGTGCGCGCGTATCAAATTTATATAAGCACTACAACCACCAATATTATTATACTCGCCTTATTGTTGCCATAATGAACACGGATCGCTAAGAAGATAAAAAAGAAAAAACTTACGTTGTAAACTTGTTTATCTGTTACACGTTACAGCTTGTATATTATACACAACCGAATATCGATGTAGTTTTTCTTTATATTTACACAGAACATTTATGTATTTATACATATACTTATTTATTTATGTATTTATTCGACACATAGAGATTACTAGGCCTGAAAACCATCGAAATCCAAAATTCAAAAATACAATGATAACAACGAGCCATTATTTGGCTACGGGTTTACAGATATACAAACAAGAATATATGTTATGTGTTTATATTTTATACGCGTACTACGTTATAACTAGAGCTGGGAATTTAATGTCCTAACCCTAAGATTGGAAAATCGATTTCATTCCATAAACATTTTAAATGATTCACTAAAAACAAAATGTTGGCTAGGTTTTAACATTACAATGTCGTTTGATAATATATAATACGGGTACTAACCTATGCTTGATAGTTTGTTATATTCATATGAGAATCGCGTGAGCATGTAAAAATCTTAAAATAAAATGTTCTAAAAATCCGAAATGGCGAGTTGAACTTTCGCGTTCTCGTTGAAAACTTCATGAAATGAATTTGTAGGCATTGGAAAACAATACAAAGCGCACCGACATCGACAGCTTTAGATGTACACGATGCCCATACACATACGCGGTATTAATTCATTACAAGAGTTCTCGTTTTTTCTTGTTTTTTTTTCTTTACGGTGGACGGTGGACGGATGTCACGCATTTCATTATATTTATCTTGTATACAATTATTACTGTAAAATTCAATTATTCATTTTTGCGCAGCTCAGGTCGAATGTACGATGTACTACAATCGTATTGCATTGATACGACCCCCTCTGATCCCCATCTGAGGCGTACCGGAGAGCCGCGTGACTTCTGAGCGTTATTATTTTTCTGAAGTTTTCTGAAGTGTCCCGCCGACTTATGCTTGCATTTCGTTCGGATATATATATACGCGCACGCGTTGATAAGCGCGACCAGAGTTATGCCAGCTGCGGCCGCACAGATCACTAGAGATGCTATTTGGCCGGTGTCCAAGGTTCCTATACCGCCGGGCGGCTTTGGCCGGTGTCCAGCCAAAGTCGGGACGCCTCCGTTGTTAAGGACGTATACGACGCTACATGACGATGACAACGACGACGACGACGACGACGATGATGATGATGATGATGATAATGCTGGCCGAGTACCACCTTCCTCCTCTAACCATGTCAAGGGATTTTCTTTTCATCTAGCCCGTTAGTGTAAGCATTAAAAGTTGACTACCACTGATCGTATTATTTCGACCCAAATTAAAATGTTTGTATTTCGTTCACAATATACACGCACTAAAATTATTTAATTATCATTATTATTATTCGCATTTTTTTTTACTCTTCTTTATTTTACGTACGCGTTTAGATTTTAAGGAGAATGAGTAAACATGACGAAAAAAATATAAAAACGATATCTGTATCAACTGTTGATCTGTCGACAATCTTAAAGCATATCGTCCAATAAAACGTTAGCGTAAAAAACGATTCGGAGTGTAATATGATTAAAGGTTGAATTGGACATCTAAGAGTAAAACGAATCATCTAGGAAAATACGGGGAAATTTGACAAACGAGATTTTTATCTGAAACAAAAACTGTCTTTGGTTTTCCATCCGAAGATGAGTAATTCTATTACCGTCCATAAGCAATCTGCAAAAGTCGAAAACCAGAAAAATCATGCTTTTGGATATAAAATATAATATTTTCTAACATAATATTATATTATCAAACAATACATTACAATATTAACTGTTGGGTGGTTTAAGTTGAATAACTTTTAATTATTTTTTTTGTTTTACAAAAGAATGTATGGATTTATAACTTTTATAATAACTCGTACACGTTTCCTGCCCGTTCAACGCCCTCCACAGATGCGATTACTCTACATAGGTTTGTTAATTTAACTATTTACGATTCAAGTGTAAGTAGGATTACGGCAAAAACAGTAGTAACACATTGTACATATGACGATAAATGACATTATAATATAGTAATGGAGAGTTCTAAAACTCCATTTGTGTAGTATTTTCGACCCGGAGGGTCATCCTCGTGCTTATATTTTTATGCTTCATATATACTTGGTAGAACAAATGATAAAATACATTTAACGATGCTTTACACGTAAGCCGTTATTTATAGATTTATTCTTAAAATAATTTAATACATTCAAGATAAATGTCAAAAAAAAAAAAAAATAATAAAATAAAATGTATATAAGCCGTTCAATTTTTATGAAAAAACAACAGTTTTGATAACGAAATCGTAGAAAAATTATGATACTTGAATAAGTACCTACATTTATATAAAAGTGCGGTATAATTATAAGTTAATAATCATAATTCTTATTAGAATATTGTTTGTATATATTTTATTTATATAAAATAATTATTGTCGTTAGACAATATTTAGCCAAACGCAAATCGTCTACAGCAGGGATGTCCAACCTTTTGTGAAGACTGGGCCACATCATATCAGTAGAAATTGTTGGGCGCCATATACTTGTTTTTTAAAAATAATACAATCAAATTTAATATTTAAATTATATTCTTTAACACAACAATACATTTTTTTATAATTTTACAATAGCGAATAATAAGCCGAAATATTTTTACAAATTTTAATATTCAATTATAATTACACAGATAAATATATTTATTTATATTAAAAAAAATATAATAAAACTAATGAAAAATTAGCAATTGCTTTTTTTGTGAAAGTAGCGAATCAATATTTGTATCAATTGAAGTTGTGTCAATCCTTAAACAACTTTCAAGGTGCTTGTCTGATATAGTAGACCGATTCTTACTCTGTATTTTTCATTCTTAAAAACAAATGTTCGAAAATGTATGTACTGCCGAAAAACGAGAACATGAATAAGGCATAATCATGAAGCACTGGATATGTTTCTTTGGGTAGATATAATTTATAAAAATCTAATAAAGATGACTGATTAAATTTTTCTTTGAGTTGAATATCTGACGTGTGCATGGGCCAGCAAATAAATTTTTTCTCGTAATATTTATATATTATATACAATTAATTGGTAGTTTTTAAATTGAAGTGAGGTTTGCATCAAAATCTACCGCGAGCCGCGGGTTGGACACCCCTGGTCTACAGTTTTCGTCGAAAATCAATAAATATTTAAAAACAAATTAACTTAACAAATTAGAACACTTTTCAACTACATTATATTTACTTTTGATAAATTTGGTATTACATTTTATTAAAGTTATGCGTATAAAATGTACGTACACATATATTATACCACCGAGTTTTCGGATTTTCTTAAGTTAAAATGTTATTGTTTTCAAAGTTAATTTTAATTAATTACAAAATTACAAATCTTATTAAATAATAAATATATATATTTATAAGTGTTTTGGTCGAGTAATATCATACACATCTTAATAGCTAATTAAGGTTAGTTAGTTTTTAACTAATAATTTTTCTAAATTAATTTATCAATGTATAATTTAAAGCTTACCTCAACACATTACACGTGCCAGTATGCGTTATAATTTTATAAGCATTAGTAAGAATTATCTTTGTACAAATGAAAAATATATTGCTTTAAGTAATTCCGTACTTGAAATGTGTACTTTTTGCTCAATGAATTTACTCGCGTAGAAAAAATAAGCCCCCAGAAAACGATAATCATTAAATATAAGTAATAAAAGAATAAAATTTAAATGTGTAAATAAAATTGACCAAATAACATCATTATAATAATAATTTTGATACTTTTAAAAGTTGAAATATTTATAAGTCTTAAATACTGATTAAAAATAAATAAATAAATAAATAAATATTGAATTACAATCAGTAACCATTAATCAATCACTTATTTTATTAATATTTACTGCAGTCTAATAAATAGAGTGAAATTCTGATTTGTTACAAAAAAAAAAGAAAAAAGAAGATTTTGATGTATGATGACGTACTTCGACCTCTTATAAATAAATAATATAAAACCAGTATCCACATTCGATCATAAATATATTATTTTACAATTCAGTCGTATATAATATAATTTACTATTGCATTATACATGCAAACAATGTTTATCACATATTTTGATTATAAATTCAAGAATTAGTCTTAAACATTAAAATATACATAAGAATGAGTAAGAGACCTAGGTTTTTGTTTTGTATAATATGTATTGTTAAATCGACAGTAAACTTTTACAACCATTGTCTATCTGCGAGAATGCCAACTGAACCATATTGTACTAGTGTATAGAATCTATAATATAAATGTATAATAGAAATGTAAATATAATACTTTCGATATACTCGTAATACGATAAAAAACGTTGGTCTTAAAAATTAACTTTTCTACATAAAATACATGTTTCAATATTTTTTATGATCGTAGGTATTACGTGCTGTGTTCATTAATGGTCCGTGTCCTGTTAGATAAATTGCGCCAGCTCACCAAATAACATATCATACATTCTTGACACAAGGATTTCAAAAGCAACACAAGCCAAATAATTTCAATACATCAATGCTCCGCATGCTTTACACTAACACTCAAAATATATTACACAAAATGGGCACACTCAATGTAAATATTTAGAAAAAATAAAATTACATTTAAATTTTAAAAAAAGTCTTCAGTTCTTCAATTTTATTAATTTACACTAAAAACTAACAAATACCAAAACTTTTCAAAAAAAGTGCTTATAATTTTATTTTATTATTTTAATTGTTCTATATGTACATTCGACATAATCCTTTGTATGTTTAATTAATTTGATATTAATATTATTATTTTTTATTGTTCCTATAATGATCTATTATAATAGTTACGTAATTACTAAAGAGTAACTATAATTAATTTAAAATAAATGTAATATCGTGATAATAACTTGTAAACATTTATAAACGGTTTGAAGCTAACGTTTCGACCGTTCCATTAAAGCTTGTATTGAATATAGGGTGGTTCCTTCATTTCTAAGTTTAGATTTACATTCACAAACATGAGTTACAATACACTTATATTACTTATGTTCGTTTCTTCGAAAACCATGTACACTTAACTTAGATTTTACACAGTCGTCAGGTATACATTTACTGTTTTTAGACACATATTCTAATACCCTTAATGTTGCTTACCACGTGTATTTAAAACAAAATATTAAACCGCAGAATTATAATAAAATACGTTTACTATTTGATATAATCAATCTCATTGAATTAAATATTGATAAAATATAAAAAAAAAAAGATAAAAAATATAACCACTAGTAAGTACTGCAAACGTAACCATTATCCAATTTCTCATCATCTAAACTTACTAACGAAAAACCAATTCAATTCGATGTTTGGAAATTTTCTTAAAATATTTAAAAGTAAATACGATGTCGTGACCTACCCTTCATTGACCATAAAATTCACCATACAATCAAAAGTCAAAGTGTCGGGTGACTTCTTTATCCAAATCTCCATGTCATTATAAAATCTTATCACCATTTATGATTATTATAATAAATTGTATAGATTGTATACATAAATAAAAAAATAAAATTTTTAATTATCATAATTTATGCATGGTAATAAAACCGAGACTTTAATAAATATTTTAAATATCAAACACTCATATAAATAAAATTTTAAATAATAAATATATTTTGGTTATCATTACTTTCCATTAAACAATAACAAGTTGTTCAACTGTTAACCATATCTTATGCAGTTGAGAATATCGATGTTTTAGTTTAAGTGGTAACAAAAGAGCAAATAATGGAATGGCATATAATTGGTTACCTAACCAAACAAATAAATTATGGTGATCAATATTGTACAATAGTAATTATTCACCAAAAATAATATTTTTTTCATATTGAAAATATTTAATTTGTTCGATTAAATGCCATTTTTAACCAAGTTTTTTTTTTTTTTTATAATTAAGTTTTTATTTTTTAATATATTATAATATAAAATATTAACACATTAAAAAAAAGCTATAATAATGATTACAATTTTTGTTAATTTAATAAAAAGTGACACTTGATTATTTAAGATAAATTTTTAAATATTTGTTTGTTCTACATAATATAGAAAAGTCAATTAATTCCTTTAATTTTCAGTTACAACAATAACATTAATCAAATATTGTTCAAATTATATTATGTATTTATATTATAATGATTATATTTGGTCCGCACAACTAAAAAGGTTGAGAACCGCTATTATAATCAGTAGATTTAACAATAATTTTACAATTACATTTTTTATTAATTATTTTAATACTATATTAGGTAATCATTTATTT